CGCGGTGTTCTGGCGTGATTCTACATTTAACTGTACATACATCACCTACTCTTTTAACTTGAACATAACCAATAGCATCATTGCCATAGCTGTTTCTTGCTGATCTGAAATAAGTTTCAAATAAAAATAAATAGCCTTAAGTATTTTATTAGTAAAAAAATACTAATAAATAAATAAGGTTTAGTACATCTGTTCAAACTTCTATATTTGCAACAAAAAAATAATTTAATAAAATGGCCTTAAGTATTTTGTAAGTAAAAAAAATACTAATAAATAAAAAAGGTTTAGTACATCTGTTCAAACTTCTATATTTGCAACAAAAAATAATTTAATAAAATGGACTTACGTATTTTGTTAGTAAAAAAAAATACAAACAAAAAAAGGTTTAGAACATCTGTTACGTTTAACCCACTACATCTACATCCTAGGTACCTATCCTACTTCCTACTTATATTATAAATGCGAAAGTTTGTGTGTGTGTTTGTTTGTTATCTTTCACGCAAAAACTACTGAACAGATCTGGACGAAATCTGTAATAACACATAGGCTACTTTTAATCCTGGGAAAATGTACAGCTCCCGAGGGAATCGTGGGCGAAGCTGCTGGCGGAAGCTAGTTTGCAATAAATCTAATACAAAACTATAATACATATTTGTCTTTAACGTAAAAATTTAATAGTAGGTAGGTACTTCTACTATTTGAGTTGCATTCTTCCATTGCGACATGACATTAGTTGCGTATTTTGTTTTGATAAAACAATTTAGAATAGATAAACTATTAAGCATCAATAGTAGCAAGGAAAGTTTACTTACCTATGCATTTTTATTCCTCGCATTTCGGCGGCAACGAAATTACTATTTGTTAATATATAATGCGCAACTTTTAATCCATCTATTTTATTTAGATTATCCGATTGCCCTTTTTCGAATCCTTTGTCTATTTTATTAATCGAATAATATTTAATATTATTAGACTATTAACTTTATACACGGGCGAAAACAACAAAATACTGCGCAAGCTATTATATCTACTATAACCGCTGGCGACTTGATACTAAGCGGGGCACGGCGCGTTGTGACATGACGTCACAAGCGGTCATGTGGCTGTTAGCGGGATTCGATATTTTTCGAAACTTTGAATGCATATAAAATCAAAATTACTAGGTATTTTTGACTACAACAAAAACTAGTGTATTTGTATACATAAGGGCTTTATTGAGACAAAATTTCAAGCGATTTGGCATACCTAGTAACGTTACAGTCGCTCGCATAGTAACTCTAATGTTTCATTCGATGAGGTATCGAGTTTCTTGGATGATCTAAGTTTCTTCGAACTATCACAATACAACTACACACATAACTCAAAAGGCAATACACTTGATCTTTGCTTCTCGAACCTTCCATTAGCTATTACAACGTGTACCCTACCCCTATCGTCAAGGAAGACGCACACCACCCCTCCCTAATCATAGTAGTTCTTGATCTACATATCTCGCCTCTGAATGAGGTTATTCTCCACGGTATAATTTTCATAAGTGCGACTATAACAAGATAAATACATTTTTTTTAAATAAGGACTGGACGAAATTACTACAGACTAAACCAATGGATAGCGCTCTTAACACTTTTAACACTGTTCTACAGGAATGTGTCACGTTATACGTACCTCTTAGTAGGTTTCCTAACTTAAAGAATTATCCTGCATGGTACACTCCTGCGCTTATTAAGATTAATCGTGAAAAAATTAAAATGCATAAGAAGTGGAAACGCTTTAAAAATTCATTGGACTATGACGAGTTCTCTCTACTTTGAGCCAGAGAAAAACGAATTCAGTCGCAATGTTTCATTAAGTTCACGCTTAACGCAGAGGAACATATCCGACGCAATCCTAAACACTTCTGGAAATATATAAAATCTAAAAAAAAACACCTCTAGTTTTCCAAAAAATATAAAATTTGTTGATGATTATGTTAACGACGGAAATGAAATATGCTCTGCCTTTAACCGATTTTTTGAGAGCTTTTTCATAAAACCGAATAATGGTACTTATAATCCTCTTTTCGACTATACACCCCCAAGCCTTGAAATACTTTCTAAGATTAACATAAATTACGATACTGTGAATAAGCACTTGCGCTCATTGGACATCTCAAAAGGCCCCGGCAGCTACAGTATTCCTCCCATTTTTCTTCAATCATGTGCGGACACAGTAGCATCACCAATACTAATACTTTTTCGTACATCTCTTAGTGAATGCGTCTTTCCAGTGATTTAGAAACGAGCACAAATTATCCCTCTGCACAAAAAAGGCTCACGCTCATGTATTGAAAACTATCGACCCATTTCAATTCTAAATTCCAAAAGTAAAATCTTTGAGGAAATAGTTTACACAGACGTTTATCACACCATAGTGAAAGGTTTACCCAGTACACAACATGGTTTTTTAAAGGGACGCTCCACTATGTCTAACCTGGCTTTGTTTTCGGATTACGTGATTAATAATATGGAAGACGGTGGTCAAGTTGACGTGATCTACACGGATTTCGAGAAAGCTTTCGACCGTGTGGATCATAACATTCTTCTCCACAAGCTTGAACTCCTAGGTATACACGGAGACTTGCTTCGCTGGGTGCGCTCATATCTAACCAACCGGTCCCAGGCGGTCGTTTTGGGAGGCTACAGATCGGATTATATTGATGTACCCTCTGGGGTTCCCCAAGGCTCGCATCTTGGCCCCCTCATCTACAACGCTTATATTTTTAACATAAATACTTGTTTCAGTAACGCTAACCACATAATGTATGCAGACGACAAAAAAAATGTATATGCGCATTCGCTCAATTTCTGATTGTGAGCTTCTACAATCAGACTTAAATAAACTTTTTGAATACTACTCAGTAAACAGAATCACAATAAGTATTAAAAATGTCAGTGCATCAGCTTCACCCGTAATAGGAAACCTATTACTTTCTCCTATCATTTCAATAACGTTGTATTGGAGCCGATCGATGTCGTGCGGGATCTTGGCGTTTTCTTTGATACAAAATTTCTTCGAACCGATTACGTATCTAGGATGGTTAATAAAGCTTACAGAAATCTGGGGTTCATTATGAGAACCTGCAAACAGTTTAGTAGTTCTTTGAGCATCTTAGTCGTTTACTATGCATACGTTCGTAGCATATTGGAGTACGCAAGTCCCATATGGTCACCATGTTACAAAACCCACATTCACCGCATTGTAAGGATTCAAAGGAAGTTTATAAAATATCTAAGCTTTAAATGCCACAAGCCCTTCACAAGCTATACTACAAGTTGTCGAGCATTTAACTTGCTCACTCTCGAAGCACGCCGCCGAACTTTAGACGCATGCTTGGTATTTGATATAGTGCGTGGTCGTTTTGATTGTCCCGAACTCACAAATCATATCTCCCTTTGCGCACCGACACGTCGTACCAGACACACGCCACTGTTACACGTACCACATCATACTACCAATTACGGTAAGAATGCCGTTTTCACCCGTATTGTCAACTCATACAACAAAAATTTCTCTGGAATCGACCCTTTCACCGAATCTAAGCACTCATTCAAAGACAAAATATACACACACCTAAGCACCAGCATTTAGATGTCTTATTTCTTCTATGTTCTCTCTACGGTATAACGAGTATGAATAGACCTACTCGCTCAGTGTTTGCTTGCTTTTTATGTGGTTCAATTACTCACTGTATTAAAACTCAGTTTAATTGCTTTTCTTAATTGTTATAATGTTAAACGTCACATTAAAATTTATATCACTAACAGTAGATCTTATCATATTTCAGTATTATTTATAAATTAATTAGTTTTAAGTAACACCTGGTTGCTAACGACCTCAATATAATGTAATCGTGGATAGCTATAAGTGGCTTAGATTTAAATAAGACACTATGTACAATATATTTAGTATAAAAGCTGTTGTTATCCCAAATAAAAAAAAACGTGGCAGTCAAAATGCTTAAATCGATTGACAGATTAACAGCCGGTTTCTGATTTTAATCATTTATTAAAGTAGTTAAATTATACATCATCCATTAGCATAAAGTACACTTGTGATAATAATGAACGTTTATCACAAATGTACTTTATGTTAAAACACTAAGCAAGGGTTTGGTTACTTATTTAAAATGTATTTAAAAAGAAAATTCAAAAACAATTGCGTGGTAACAAAATACGAATTCGAAAAATAGATAAATTGAATTCGTCCCTGGTTATCAAAGGCAAAGCGAACCGGCGTCCATTCACTCATTCACTCGTCGTGCGCGCGACTTTTTTGTTCTGTCGGCGTCGGCGCCTTTGTTTCAGTCACCGCCGGACATTTGCGCGTGAGGCATGTTAATGCATCGCTGCCACCGTACCGCTGTGAAGCGACTTTTTGTCGATTTTTGTTTTGTTCTAGTGCATTTTTAATTAAATTTTTGTTAATAATATACTACAGTGCTTAGCTGTCTTCAGAGAAGAATTGGACATTTTCAGTATCGACTATCATTAAGATATCGGCAAATAATTAAATTAAATTAATGTATTTCGCGGTCCGTTGTTATCTGCGCACAATCGATATTGCGCATGCGCGTTATAGGGCTTTCAACACTTAGAAATTTAAAATTTTTATTCTATTTTTACACCTTCTCTATTTTGAAATATTTGTCAAATAAAATGAACGTTTGCATGTAACCTAACTTGAAACTTTCGGCTGTGTCGGTCATTTTGTTGCTCCCTGTATAAGAATATTGAATTCGAACATATTTATTACATCCTATTTAACGATATTTGCAGCACGCATCAAACGTATTAATAATGTTACATTAAACATTTTTTAATTATCCAAAGCACTAACGTTAGATTAGAAACAATTTATATTCTTTCAAGATTTAGTGAAATCGGTCCAGCCGTTCACGTGGGACGGCGTGACCGAGCGGGATAGTTATTCATTTTTGTATATATATAGATTATTTCTGTCAGGGTCGATCGTCGTCCGAGGGCTCGGAGGTGGACGCGGCGCGGCAGCAGCGCGAACTGATCTCACAATTGGAGGCTAAAAACAGGGAAATCATGAGAGAGATAGCACGACTGAGACGGCAGCAGGAGGCGGAGGCCGCGGCGGGCGGCGCCCCCCCTCTGGTGTCGGAGCTGCGCGCGCTGCGGCAGCGCAAGGACGAGCTGGAGGGGCACCTGGCCGCGCTGCAGGAGTCGCGCAAGCACCTCATGCAGCAGCTCGAGGGGCTCATGCGGATGCTCAAGGTGACGTGTGCCTATGTGTGCCTCCCTCTAGGTAGTCGCTCTACTCGCTGGTGGCGGAGCTGCGCGCGCTGCGGCAGCGCAAGGACGAGCTGGAGGGGCACCTGGCCGCGCTGCAGGAGTCGCGCAAGCACCTCATGCAGCAGCTCGAGGGGCTCATGCGGATGCTCAAGGTGACGTGTGCCTATGTGTGCCTCCCTCTAGGTAGTCGCTCTACTCGCTGGTGGCGGAGCTGCGCGCGCTGCGGCAGCGCAAGGACGAGCTGGAGGGGCACCTGGCCGCGCTGCAGGAGTCGCGCAAGCACCTCATGCAGCAGCTCGAGGGGCTCATGCGGATGCTCAAGGTGACGTGTGCCGTCACTGACGATCGCCCTCCTTCACGGAAGGTCGGAAGCAGGCGGCGCAATTGCGTAGAACTAAGTTTTTATGATGTTTCTAGATCATTCGTTCCGAAAGCGTTTGCGACTTTATACGCTACATAATAGAGATGACGATTATTTTTTGTTTGTTCGTCCGTCAGGTGGATTGTTGAAAAATATTAAACACGTATTTTTTTCCTAGTCATTAAATTACGGCGATACATTGAGTTAAAATGTCGCATGACATCACGCTTTGGCACGTTTTCTACAAAACTGTGACGTAGCGAGTCCCCACTCCTTAACTTTAACTCCTGTTATTTAAGTTATTTCTTGTGAAACTAAAGTAAAAACAAAATACGTATTTAATATTTTTCTATTGTGTGACTGACTTAATAGATTTTTTTACACAGTTGTTATTCCTTGTTCCATAAATCGCCTTGAGAATCGCTATACATTTCAAAGCGATTGCGTTAGATTTAAATTTTAATTAACTAGGCCCGCGACAGACCATCCTATTAGTGATTCGTCATTGCCGATAATGGTCAGTTTTTCAAGGCCAGCGCTCCCTCTTTTTCATCATCATCAGCCCCTTTACATCCCCACCACTCACCCTCCGCGCTGACCCAATGCGCAATATACCTACACAGTACACCACTTAAACAGTACACCAGTTTCAATATTTTGTTCGTTCTATGTAAACCATAGACACGTAATTTACCTACTAAAGAAAAATTACTTCAATAAAAAAGTTACTATGAATCATACATTATATTACATTGTACTGTTCTTGTAGGAGGATAACAAACAATTTGTTTATTTACTGTTTATCAATTTTTATTTGCTCAAAATTCGCTTATTCTATTTGGGCTATGAAATGAGAAAACAAAATATATTATTTGTAATTTATTTGAATATTTAAATGTTATTATTTGTTTTTATATGTCACACGTTGATTATACTTCTTTATGAATTATGTCACATTATTTTACTTCATTTGCATCTGAAATAAAAACAAAATTGCATTGCTGTAGAGGTATCTATATTCTAGAAGAATACTTTGAATACTTGTATCTCACTATGTACCTAATAATGATTATCAGAACAAGTTTTCATCACGGGAAGAGGTCACCGTTGTGGGCACTTGTGACTGTCAATTTTTAAGTACTTTTCAGTGATTTATACGAAATATAAGAGAAAGTTCCTAAATAACGGATTGGATAACAGTCAAAAGCACGTTAGTTTATATGAAAAGGATAAAATTCTCCTGTACTATTTAAACCTTATGGTTTCGGAAATTAAGTCCCAAAGAGAAATGCCGGAACCGGCCACGTTACATGATAAGTAATTATGTATCTATACAATGAAGGCGCCTAAAGTAATTCCGTTCCTTTATATCATCACTAGCTGTTTTCTCGCGACTTCACCTGACTATACTATAGTCTATGTTACCCGCGTATTACGTAGCGGTCCAGCAGTTTCGGAGTTTATACAATATAAACAACTCTTGTATTATGAAAATCTAAAACAGCAAATTTACCGCAACACCCAGACTTGACACGATATTTTTGAAACAGTCATTTTCAATATTGATTCGGACACGAACCCGTGACCTCAAAGATACATTATCCATTATAATATGTCCAGTGTGCATATAGAAATAAATAACATTAAATAATCATTGACTCACCATAGATTTTTCAAAAGCGACGCAGACGTTTGATGGCGCCGGATAATATATGGGCTGCACGATCGCTTTTTTTAAAACAACTCTCCAAGTCCTTAAATCCATCAACAACGCAGCTTATAGTTTTATCGTTGAAATCTGAAACACGTATAAATGGAAGTACCTTAAATATTCTATGACTACACCATGGGGCTGATTGTTGATTTTAAAATCTATCGCAATTCCTCCCAGTTTATATCGTTCACGAACTTCGTGCTAAAATTATTTGACGTGTGATATCGTTAATTTAAAGTGACTTGAGATTTTCTAAGTAATGCGCTGAGCGGCGTAGGAGCCCGAGATTGTCAATTTTTGGTCATCCATCCTATAACCGCCTCTTTGCAAAGTTGCTTAACTTCGACAATGCGACAGAATGCGTTAACCAGGATCGAGCCCCCTCATTATTAGACAAACAGGAAAATTATTATAGAATTAATAAATAAGCATTGATTTTATGTATAACCTTGTTTGAAACAATCTATTATTTTTGATACACTTTTTACAACACAAAGAAATGGATCGCGCTCGTCACTCATTTGCGTCTCATCGCTGTCGTCACTCAATTCACTGTCATCGCCATTTACAAATTCATCGAACAAATCGATAATCATTTTCCAGAAAAAAGACTCGAAGTCCTCAATATCCTCAGTGTCCCACACTTCAACGCTATCTTTGTTTGATGATTTATTTACATTTTCTTTCTCTTTCACACTCTTTTCGTTATTCACAGCGTTCACATTCTGCGCAGGATTGGCAGAAACGATCCCCGAGGCGATAGTGATTATTGCCAGTACTGTTATAGAGCGCATTTTGGTTCGTGTTTCAGTTAATGAAACTGTCAAACTATTAATGCTTACATATTTTAATTGTTCTATTTTATATTAGAATCCACGGACAGCTATTTACGGCGAATGCTAGTTATTTTTGTTTTATTGTCCCATAAAATAAAGTATTTTATTTTGATTATAGTAATATTCAAAATATTATTGCTTTATAACTGCATTTTTAAATATTTTTTTATTAAATTCCGATATTTATAGTCTTCAGTGACGTAAAATTTGTTTTCATACATTATTGAAAATTATTGAAATTATTATATTTTCTCTATTTTGCATTCACAATGCTAAACTGAAAAATATTCTTAATAAAAAATGCTTTAAAAAAGTTGTGGGTTCGAGTCCCATCTCAGAGTACCTGGAGCTGGTGGTTTTCTTTACGCATTTTTCATTAAGAATAAATTTATTTTAACTTTATATCCGCAAGCTTACACTTAAAACTAATGTTTATTGATAATATGTAAATAAGAGTACGGGGTCAGTTCACAGGCACAGGCTGGAATCTGTCCAGACAGCTCACTAACGTTTATTAGTAGATTTTTGTCAGCAATTTTAGGTGATTGGATTTTGCATTTGTCCCTAAGTTAAACATTTGGCGGGATAAGAGTAACCGAAAAATGATTTAGAGTTTCTGTGCTTCGAAAGGCACGTAAGTCATTAAAGTGCACTGAGTCCGCGCATTTTAGATTAATGTTCTTGGCTCCATTAAAATCACACAACTCCTGTACCACAACTCTGGGGGACACCAATAAGCTGATCAATATACGTACTCTTTAACTATATGCCCTTTATTAGTCAAGTTGCTATAGTTTTTGTAAAAAGACGTCACGGAACATTTAGAAAGTTTTATATTTTTTTAACATTTACAATATTGTCGGATTATATTAAAGCACAACATTTCGGTGGCGCAAAGGTATAGATGTACCAGAATCTGATGGCACACAATATATATATTTATGGAATATTTGTGGAAATGCCCATAAAGCTTAATGTTTATAGCAAAATTTATGAATAGAAGCTGGAGATCAACGAAATTGTTTTATATTAAAATGTGTTTATGGATTGACCGGTAACTAGCTATGACTAGTTTTGATACTTTTTTTTACTACAATAAAACGAATTATGAGTAAAGGAGAAAGATAATAATACATTTTTACATGGGAATATAGGAACGGTGAAAAGAAGAAAATAATATTGCAATATTAGTAAAGATTAGCAATAAACAAACACATAAAGTGAAACTTATTATATTTATTCCTGTGAGATACCGGGTCAGGTAAAATATTATTAGGTCTTTTTTGTTGGGTCCGGTGCTGTCCATATATACATATTACTGGACATTGCTATTATTGAATTTACAGGTATATTAGAATAAGGCATATCTTATCTAGAAATCACTTAATACTAAGCATATTTTTCGTTTCACCAAACTTGTAACGTTAGGTAATGCCTTACTAAGCACTTGTTTAAGTGCTTAGGTAGGCAACATTTGGCTAAGATTTTACATCCTTCAGTTCGTCTTCTTTTTTTATGTATGGCCTATTTGCGTTTACACGTTTTCGTTAATTTCATATAAGTGGCCATTACACGTAAAGAGACAATAACAACAATTTAAATTTTAAGGTAATAAACCAAGAAAAATAATACGTCGCCTTGTACACCACGAGCACCTAAGTCGTCAATGTACACATTTAAAAAGACAATCTAATTGTTTATATCTTAATTCTAATGTATAAAAACTCTTTGATTCCAACTTACTTAACTGATTTCATCCCCTGACCCATCTATTTTGGCAAAATTGTGCGAAACGCGCAGATAAGCCATCGATAAAAGAAGAAGAATAAGACACATATATTATGACCAAAGAGTAAATGTATATTTCACATTAGCAAAGTCGTTAGATGTCTCCTTGTCGTTGATGAAACGCGTTTTCACCTTTGACTATGCCCAAATATTTAGGTGTCAGATTTGGGTGACCCTTAAGTTTAGTGAAAACGGGCATCTTTTTTTTACTGCTTTCATGTTTCCCGATTTGCCATCAGATTCTGATACACCTATCAGCGCGTTCAGTTTGCGATGTAGAAGT